GTATTTAAGTTTATTTAATAAAAAAATCTTATAGAATAAGAATTTTTTTTGTGATCAATCATTTAATACTATAAATATAAGTAAGTTTTGACCTTTAAAATCATGAGAGAAAATTATTTTAGAGATAATCCTCGTATGGTCTATGCAATTTTTTAGGTTTATGTTGTAGAGATGGGTTTTGTAAGGATATTAGAGGAGTGATTTTAGATATTTTAAAATTTTGATATAGATATCAAATTTTAAGATATATGAAATATCATGTATTTGTATCATTCCTAATCTCTATATTTATAGTAGATTATTATTTTTCTCATCCCTCGAGGTAGATAAGGTTGCACCACATTAAATATGGTCTGTAGTATATGCCTTATTATACATTGATTTTGCTTTGGTGATTTTTTTTGCTCACAAGTTCTTAATAAGTGATATCAGAAATATGATTTGAGTTGTGATGTTTTGAATTAATTTGATGTTGTAGATTTCGTTAATGATTTTAGAAACATACAAGAAGAATTTTGTTAAAACAATTCTCAATGATCCAATAATGCTTTAATAGATATTTTATAAAAAAATAAAGTTGTTGAAGACTTGACGACGATGTTTTAAATATTTTTGACTTGTTTAAGAACTAAAATTGTTAAGACTAGAAGTGTCACGCCTTGATTTTTAATTTAAAATATATTTAATTTATTTAATATAATTAAGGGACCAAAACGGATAATTCTAAAGCTTTATGAGTTAATTATGACTATTTGGAAAGTTTAGGGACTTAACTCTAAATTATTTCTTTTTAGGTCAATAAAGAAAATGAAAAAAATGGGAAATTGTGTGACTGAGGGATATTGAACCCTGAACTTTTATATGGCCAACCATGCCCCTACCAATCGGGCTAGTTATTGTTAATGAGTTGAAATAATAAAAATTTTATTTTAGTTTTAATAACTTGGTGTTAACCCATTTTTGAAACCCTCCCCCCGATGCTGGTTTGATCCCAAAACCCATTTTTCCCAATTAGACAACCCACACCGTTGCCTCTCCACTCAGCCTCCTATGGACAACAGTGGTGTGTATCGCCGCCAACAGCAGCTCCAACGTCAACTCGTGACCCAACTCTGATCGGTAAACCACCCAGATCGATCACCGTTTGGCATGGATTGTGATAAAAATTGTTCGAAACATCATCGCTCATCTCTACCACAGCTCGTCGGTGAGCAACATGACCACTACCATCGAGAGCGCTTGGTCGTCGTGATCAAAACCCGGTGTCCCTCTTGCCGTGAAGCCTAGCTATTCGTCGTGGAGGAAGCTACGAAACCTCGTCGGGAAACAAAACCATCGTTCAGTTTTTGAGTTTTTTCAATCAAACCGGTGACTCGTTCTCCACACTGCCCTCGCCATTATCATCCTCACGTGATTCCGAGCAAAACCCGACCGGTGTTGCTCCCCACCGTTATTGTTTTCGTTCGTCCACTGTTGGGGTAAGTATTCGAGCATTTTCCCAGTAGTTTCGTTGTGATCTTTACTTGATATTAATTTGTTTTGAAGTTGTTTCGTTGTAAGAATGCTTCGAGAATGATCGACCATCATCCACCATCGTTTTCATCACCTCACGGGCCGCCTGCGCGCTTAGGAATGGTTCACCGGTCATGAAACCTTCTAGAGATCAATCTGAGTCGACTCGGATCGAACCAAGTTAACATAAACATGTATGAGTCCGACCGAACCGAGTCAACTCAAACCTTCCTGAGTCAGACCAAATTGGGTTGAGCCGAATCAACTCACGGGTCAATTTGGACTGAGTCAATTCGTTGACTTTGATCAGAGTTGACTTTAACTTTGACTTTGACCACCGTTTACTTTGACTTTGTCCAAAAACTAAAATTTTCCCAAAAGTCATATTTTGTGTTTTTTGACGTTATGGGTTTGAATCCAAAGTCAATTTTTCCAAATTCGAACTCGGTAAGCCAATTTTTAATGTTTTATCTTCAGAGTCAATTTGGTTTTTCGATTAAGTTTTGTTTTTGACATAAATTTATTTGCTATGTATTTGAGACTTTATGATCGTGGACTTAAAGTTTGAGGGCAATCGAATGGAGTTTAAATGGTTGATTGATGTGGCTCGTAAATTGAGATAATACTTTACTACCCATTGCATATTGTATGGTAAAAGTTAGGTATTGGTTATTGCATAAATAAATATGATTAGGTTGGGAATAAATATTAACTATTCTAAACCTATATTGATCCCGATAAAATGTCAAAAATGCCATTTGGATACAAATATGACATGATTTACCTCTGATTATAGAAACGACTTGGAATAAGTGAATGACCTTGGATAAACCCTGAAAATACTTTGAACCTAAGCATTGAACTGCTTCTAAATGTCTTGGACCACGACCCAAGCTCGTCGGTCTCTTTGGATACCATTGTAATACAAAAATAAATAATATAATTGGGATACATGTTCATATTCACAAGATTCGTTCTAATGGTGGTATGATGGTGACTAGTTTAACTAGTGTAATTAGTATTGAGAAGTGAATATTTTGAAAGATATCAGTCCGATTGATTAGTGAGTATTATCGTGTTGAGATCTGTTCAACCTTATTTGACCAAGAATCATGATAATTCAATATAAATCTTGAATAGGACAAATTATCGTTAAATTATTAAGTATTCTTTTAAAATAAAAATGAAAAAAATAACCCTATAGAGTAAAATTACAAAATTGCCCTTGCACCGCAAAAAGACCAAGATTGCCCCTAAAAGTGAAAAAATAACCCTAAAATGACATACCTAATCAAATTACCAGAAAAGTACATACGTTTGGATTGATCAGAATTATCGAAATGTCCTCAAGCTGTAAAATAACTAAAATAACCTCAAATGTTCAAATAACCAAAATACTCTAAACCCTAAAAGAACCAAAATACCTTAAACTCTAAGATGACCAAAGTAACCTCGACTGTTGAAGCGACTTGTTAACCTAACGACTTAAAATAAGTGGATGCCCTTGGTAAATTTAAGAAACACCCATAAACTTAAGTGTTGTATCGCCATTTAAAGTGAATCACGACACAAGTATGTCAGTCATTCTGGATATTGTTGCAATTCATAAATAAATTAAACACCACTGAAATATTTGTTTGTCTTGTGAAGATCTATTTGATGTTGATTATAAAGGAGGTTAGTTCAACTAATACAATCAATACTAGGGAGGGAATATCTGTGAAGTATCTTGACCCAAATGATTGGCAAGTATCCCAGTGTTGGAATCTGATTAGTGCAACTTGACTCAAGTCTGATGATTCGATATAATCTTCAATATTGCAAATTATCGCCTAACCATTATTAGGTTAAATTATTAAGAATTCTCCAAGAATCAAATGTCCAAAATGCATCTAATTGACTGAATAATGAAATTACTCTAGTTATATATGACTTTTAAATTATTCTGACTTAAGGTTCTTGAATACCTTCCTGATGCACTTGAATCCTAAATGGTACTGAAGTATTAATTCCTAAATGTCTGTTTAATCGAACATTCAAATATTTTTTTTACATTTATGCTAATGATCTAACCCTTTAATAAAATATATGGTCTAAAACTTGATCCATATTAGTCAAACTTAATGGATTAAGCAGGGCGACTTGAATACTATTCCCACACACATTTACCAACAAAATACTATTCCCACGACCCATGTGACGTGAAACAACAAAGTGGAGAGCTATTTGTGTTTTTTTTCCTTTAGATTTGTCCCACCCAATAATAAAATGTTGATTGTAATACACATAATAATGATGAACTTAGGAAAATCATTTTTGTTGGCAAAGGAATATGCATATGATCTCATAGGGGATGGGGGATATGGCCTAACCATAAACTACCATTATATCATGTGTTTACACACCACACCTTATCATAATTACCTATAAATTAAAAATAATTGCAATCAGTCAACTTCATTTGTGCAATCACCACTCATCTTTGTAATCTCAATGCATCATCATTTGCATATTCTCCATCCACTAGTTTAGTTCCATTTTCTTTCATTATTGACAAAAAAAAAAAACAAATTTATTGAATTATGAAAAAAATTGGTACAAAAAAAAAACAAATGAACAATATAAGAAATCTAAAAATTCAACCAAGCTTCGAAACATAATTGTTCTTATCAAAAAATTTCATTTGAATATAGGGATTAAAGGATGAATATAAAATGAATAATGAAATTGACGTGTCACTATAAGATAATGTCATATCAATATTGAAAAAAAATAAAAATGCCACGTCAATATTCATTTTCTTTTATTATTGAACAAAAAAAACTAATCTATTGAATTATGAAAAAACTATTACAAAGAAAAAACAAATGAAAATATAAGAAATCTAAAAATTCAACCAAGCTTCGAAACATAATTGTTCTTATCAAAAAATTTCATTTGAATATAGGGATTAAAGGATGAATATAAAATGAATAATGAAATTGACGTGTCACTATAAGATAATATCATGTCAATATTGAAAAAAATAAAAATGTCACGTCAATATTGAAAAATAAAAAATGATGCATCTACATCATTGTTATTTATTTTAACGGCGAGTGACTAAAATAAAATTAAAACGTAATATTAAGTATGTTTCTGAAAAAAATAATAGTTAGGTGACCATAATAGAAACTAAATGATAGATATGTGACTAAATAGGAAGTTTATACAATGTGCGGTGATTGGTATTAACATCCCAATGTGCGCAATTTTGAAGCTTTCTCTTTAAAACAATCTTATTTGAGCCCACTAACCCATCCTTGCTTTCCATTTGTTTCTGTGAATCCTTCTTCCTTATTCCTCTTTCCAGAAACAAAATTAAATCCATGGCTCTTTAAACTTGGTTGATAAAAGTCAAGAAAACTTTATCCAACACCCTGGATACTGCAACATCTTCTAACCAAAACTCCAACGTCGGGATTTTGTCCTTTGAAATCGCCGGTCTCATGTCAAAGCTTCTGCATATTTGGAATTGTCTTTTAGACAAGACCATAATTCGTCTTCGTGATGAATCGATAACTCTCCAAGGTGTCCGCAAGATCGTGTCCAACGACGAGTCTTTCCTGTTGGGTCTGGCGTGTGCTGAAATGTCCGAAAATCTCAGGCTGCTAGTAAAATCTATTTCCAGGATAAGCAGAAGGTGCAATGATCCGAATCTTCAGTGTTTCGATCGGTGGTTCAATGAGTTCGACAACTCGGGTAACGATAGCCATGGCTGGGTTTTCAGTTCCAAAGATATGGAAGCTAAAATGAAGAAGATGGACAAGTACGTGACCATTACGGTAACTTTTTACAAAGAAATGGACAAGTTATCCACAATTGAGAACGGTTTGAGAAAGTCATTTCAATGTAAAGATCAAAATATTTTCTGGCAAAGGCAAGAGGTAAAGTATTTAAAAGAGACATCTTTATGGAACAAAAGCTTTGACACTGTTGTTTCCATGCTCGTTAGATCGATCTTCACACTTCTGGGAAAGATGAAGCTTGTTTTTGGATTTGGCTCTCTCCCATCTTTTCCTCGAAGCCTCTCGGCTTCTGCAACGGTCCATCCATTAATGAGTTGTTCAAACCAAGAAGAAAAGAAAGATAAGGCCGTTAAGCTTTTCAAGTCTAACACCAATCTTCTTAAGCCTCCGGCAAGTACATTAGGTGCCGCAGCTTTGCAACTACACTACGCGAATTTGATAATCATAATGGAGAAGATGATCAAGTCACCGCAATCCGTTGGCGTCGATGCTCGAGATGATCTTTATTCCATGCTTCCGAGCAGTCTCAGATCGTCTCTAAGGGGAAGGCTAAAAGGAGTGGAGTTCTCGGCGAGTGATCCGGTGCTCGCCGGAGAATGGAGAACGGCTTTGAGAAGCATATTGAGTTGGCTGTCGCCATTAGCACACAACATGATCAAATGGCAAAATGAAAGGAGCTTTGAGCACAAGAATTTGTTGTCCAAAACGAATGTTCTTCTTCTGCAAACTCTCTTCTTTGCGAACAAAGAAAAGACTGAAGCAGCCATCACTGAGCTGCTGATGGGTTTGAATTACATTTGGAGATTCGAAAGGGAAATGACGGCAAAGGTCTTATTCGAGTGCAGCAACTTTAATTAGGAAACAATTGAGCTTAATCTTCTAATTGCTTCCGTTTCGAGATTTAATTTTGTTTTCTGCAATTTTAATATGATCAACTTTTTTGTTCTAGATTGAACTGATTACCAGATCTTTCAAGGTTTTGTTTTTCAATTCTAACCCCTTATCAGTATGCTATACTATAGAGACTTGTAAATGAAATGAAGCGAGTAGAATCTCAGAATATTGCATGGATTTTCAGGCAAATTCATGTCAATTATATTATATATACACTCATGTGAAGATATTCCTCTTATTTTTGGGTTTTTTTTTTTTGGTTGCTAAAACCACCCTGCTGGATCTAGATTCATTAGCTTAGGGAGTAGTTTAACTATTTGATTACTTAGGGGTAAATTACACATTTAGTACTTAAACTATCAGTTTTGATCTGTTTTAGTACCTAAATTTTTAAATTTTCAAAATCATACATAATGTTTAGTTTTCATTTCATTTTAAAACCCCACGGTTAAAAACTTAACGTGTTTAGTACATAAACTATCAATTTTGGCCTGTTTTAGTATCTAAACTTTTAATTTTTTTCGAAACGTAACGTTAAATTTTGAACGGAATGCTAAAATGAAACAAAAACAAAAGTTTTTAATGACGATGTATTAAAATGAAACAAAAGCTAAACTTTTGGTATGCTTTTGAATAAATTAAAAGTTTAGATATTAAAACAGACCAAAATTAATAGTTTAGGTATAAAATGTGTAATTAAAGAATATATATAATCATTTTTAAACCAATTTTGTCGTTCTTGAAAAAGGTAAGGAAACACTTATTCACAGTAGAGCGATCTTTCTTGCTTTTCTTTTGGGACATGGATGTAGGTGATGACTGATACTATTTACTTGAATAATTTTCCATGTTAGCAATTTATCACTACTGATTTGGTTCTGTTGTGCTTATTTTCAAGTAGGGAATTGTTTTTTAGAACCAATAGTAAAAGGGTGTTTTTTGTATTTTATTATTATCCGATCGTGGTCGTAGACATGGGCACGACGCAGTCTAACGTAGCAGTTATTAAAAGGTCCAGTCAGCATTGGGATGATTCTGGAAGAAGCCTACTCAACACAATCTGATGAGATCTTTTAGGAAATCTAGTTTTAAGTTTGAATTCAAAACATTTGAAATTATCTTTAGGATTATTTTGCATTTGAATTTATTTTCTATTTTAAGGATTTGGAAACCTATAAATACCCCTCAGTATGACTTGGATATCTTGAATATACTTTTGTATTTTATTTTCATTTTTTATAAAAGGTTTCCTTTTCTTTCATTACTTTCTTTACTTTACGTTTTCACCATTTTCACAAAAATGTGCTAAGTATGATTTGGATCATGCTTAGCTAATTTTATTACTTAGATGAGAGCTAGCGATGACTCAATTCTAGATGTGAGAATTGAAAAGCACTTAATACCCTTCGAGTTACATTCTTAGTTTTCTACAAACTAGGATTGGCAATCAGCCTTTCCTTTAAAAATAAAAACACTTTCATATCAAAATGTCGACGTTGGTCTGAATGTTGTTCTGATTTAAAGTTGGCAGGAAGGATCAACTTGTAGCATATTCGACTTCCTATGAATACAGTTAACAGCAGTCCGCTAAGGGAAACTGATATCGGATTCGATTCTCATAAAGACAACATAATATGAGTTGGACTTTTCCAAAACTTAATTTGATTCGTTTTAGCGGCGATAGTCGTAGTTAGTTCATTCAAGGACCAAATTTCGAAGGTTAACTTGGGAAGATTAGTTTACCAAAGAGAAAAGCAAGTTACAAGGGTTGGGCCTTGTAGATTATAACCGACATGAATCCCGAAGTAAAATCCATTTCGATGATCAAAGTGAATTGAGTCAAAGCTAAGCTTAAGGCTATTTTCCCTATAATTGCTTTCCGTCATTTTATTTCAACTCATTTGTTACTTTATTTAATTAATTTTATTTAATTCATATTATACCAAACCCCTGTTTATTTTTCTTTTGTTACAGTTTACATGGTTCAGAATCAACGCAACTCAATATCAGGAATTTCTAAGTCCTTGTGGATCGACCATTTTCTTCTCTTTATTACTCTCATTCTTATTTACTTTATTTATTTTGAGAAAATGAATTTATTTTACAGTTCATGAAACGTTTCAAATTGGCATCGTTTTCAGGGACTTCAACAAATTACTGATTTGTTTTTTTATTTTGATTTTATGACTAAGCAAACCTCGAGAGATTTGGTAGACTTTGACCCAGAGATCGAAGCACGAGCTCATAGAATTCACAGACAAAAATTTCGACAAAAGAGACAACAACAAGAACGACACTCAGGTCCAACACTTGACCAGAAGAACTACAACTGATGAATGATCGAACAATTAGAGAGTTGGTCAGAGCTCCTATAGTACAATAACCGTTGTGTATTGCCTTTCCCAACGGTGAGGCACTAATCCAACATTATGAGTGAATTTTGTGTTACAAGTATAACAATCCGAGACAAAAAAATAAAAATATAATTTTATTAATAAATAAAAAGTGCAATTTAGAATAAAAATCCTAAATGTCGACAGAGTATTGATTTGGAAATTAGCTGAGGCCTGTAGCTACACAATTTCCTTAAACAGATTTTCGACCACTCCTCGGTGCTCGAGATCTTTGGTTGTATGTCTCTCAGGATATAACAACGAGATGATAAACGTACAGTAGCACAACTGTAGATATCCTGAACTATATCTTACCTGAGGCTATCATCGAAAACTAGAGAGTAATAAAAGAGTTTTTGAGCTGTGTTTAACCCAATAGGTTTGCACAGTATTTATAAAGTTTCTCAAGAGAGAAGAATTGAAAAATATATTCTAAAAAGTAAGATTATTAATGAGTATTCGAATAAATTCGGAAGTACTCAATTAATACTACATTTAATCGAATATATTCGTGAATTGCAAGATTACCAAATAAATAATTTATCCACTATGAATTAAATACTTTCCAATTTATCACAAATTTTCTAACATGAAAAAAAACTGATGAGAAAAGAGAGAAGTGAAATATGAATATTTTTATATTGATTTTGTTACAAATGGATTGGTAACCAATGACAGGTGACGATTTATTGCCAATGAAAACCAGAAAAATTTTAGTTGCCAAAATGATTTTTTTAAGATTAGTAATGAAATCGATACACTCTTAAATTCAGTGCCTAAAATGTTATTATTTTAGACATTAATAATCATGTCAAAACGATTTCGTTTTGTTCACGTTATAGGAATGATACAAAAGTCCATCTATGTCATCGTATTGTTAAAATTTAACAATCTAATATTATAATTAAAATCAAAGTATAACATTAATATTAGAATTGAAGTAATTAAAATTTTAATTTTATTAACACTGCATTATTTAAAAATTCATTTTTTAAATAAAAATAGGCAAAATTTTTAAATAAAAATAGGCAAAATTCATTTTATTAACACTGCGTTATAGGAATGATACAAAAGTCCATCTATGTCTCGTAGATCCTTCGACTGCAGCAGCTTCGACTCTGTATGATCACGGAGCGGGTCACATCAGCCCGTTGAAAGCTCTAGACCCAGGTTTGGTTTATGACATATCAGCACAGGATTACTTTGAATTCCTTTGCACACAAAACTGACTGCAATGCAGCTAAAAGCCTTTAGTAAATCTTCCGGCTTGTCCTGCCATCACAAGCTTTCAAGTCCAGGAGACTTGAACTACCCAGCAATCTCAGTGGTGTTCCTAGAAGATACATCCATTCAACTCTGACACTCCATAGAACCGCCAGAAATGTCGGCCCTCCTAATTCAAGTCACCATGTTGTGGTTTCACCGTTTAAAGGCGTCACCGTCGAGCCTAAATCTCTAAAATTCTCGAGAAGAAACCAGAAACTATCGTACAAGATCAGTTTCAGAAGAAGATCCCCGCAAACAATGCCTGAGTTTGGAGGGCTGATGTGGAAGGATGGAGTTCACAAAGTAAGATGCCCCATTGCTATTACATGGTTAGCACCATTGTAAATGGGAACCAATCGATTAGATTTTTCAGTCAGGCTGTGATTCCAAATAAACATGTTTTCTGAGGGGATCTTTAATTTTAGCATCAACAAGAATGCAATTATTTCACTGGTTTTTACAACAATTTTTCTATGCTTTTCGTGATACACCAATTAAAAGCGTTTTGGAAGTACCATCCCATGAGAATTATGAGCATAAAACACAAAACCATATACAAATACACCAACGGACCTGTTATTTACTCAATAAAACACATTTGTTTCTACTCAGAATGACCCACCAGATATGTCAGATAATCAAATAAACCCATCTAATCCATTTTATTCGGTTCAATTGATTTTCAATTATGTCAATTTAAATATTTAAAAGTTATATTTAAATTAATTTATCCAGATAATTATAAATTTTAAATTTCTCGAATTAAATAAATCAACTTACTACAACACAATTTACATCGATATATATTAGCTAAATCTGGGACAAATATAAAATTCTATATTATGAGTATAAATTTTAAAATTTAGAAGGTGTAAAATTAAAAAAAAGGAATCAGGATACGAGATTAGATTACCAATGAAAAATACAAAAAACATATAAACTATATATATAATTGAAATTTTCAAGGGTGCAATTGCACCAATAGATCCACCTTTGTGGTAAACTATTTAAATGACCACTCAATCATATGCAGTTTCAATTTGACCATTAGTCAATTAATTTTTTTCAATCATATCACTTAATTATATAAATGATATTAACTTTTCAATCATATCACTTAAATATTTAAATAATATCAATTAAGTTATTAATCATTAACTTTCAATGATAATATTAATATTTTAAATTATATATGTTACTGGTAAAAATCATGAAAAACACAATAGGATTAGAACTCGGGTGAGGGGATGGCACTCTTAATCACTAAATCAAGTTTTAAATTGTAGTTAATTACAAAATATTTTC